GTGCGTGTGCGTGTGTGTGTGTGTCGTGTGTGTGTGTGCGTGTGTGTGTGTGTGTGTGTGTGCGTGTGTCGTGGTGTTTGCGTGTGTGTGTGTGTGTGTGTCGTGTGTGTGTGTGTGTGTGTGCATGTGTGTGCGTGTGTGGTGTGTGTGTGTGTGTGTCGTGTGTGGTGTGTGTGTGTCTGTGTGTGTGTGTGTGTGTGTGTGTGTGCTTGTGTGCGTGTGTGTGCGTGTGTGTGCGTGTGCGTGTGTGTGTGCGTGTGTGTGCGTGTGTGTGTGTGTGTGGTGTGTGCTGTGTGTGTGTGTGTGTGTGTGTGAGTGTGTGTGTGTGTGTGTGTTTTTATGGCTCCAGCCCTGTCCAGATGAAATACACAACACTGTCATAGCACTGAATCAATACACCTCCCCTCTCCTCATCTTCTCTTCCTTCTCCATCCTTTAACTCATCCTCGCTCCTCCTCTTCACCTCCTCTTGCTCTGCTCTCCTCCCCAATCCTTTCTTTCCTCTCCACCCTTTTTCAGATCCTTTGTTTTCTCTGCACAGCATCTCCTCTCACCTCCATCTGTCCACACTCCTCTCCCTCTCTTGCTGCTTCTCTGTCATCTCCCTTTTTCTGCATCCTCCTCTGCTCATCTGTCATCTTGTCCTGATTCCTAACCCTCTCTCCTTTCCTTCCATCCTGTAATCTCTCCTCTCCTCCTCCCGCCTTCCTCTGCCCCCCCCCCCTCCTGCTGACGGTGAGTCCTGTGAGAGCAGTTTATCAGCTCAACACAGTAATTACATCGACAGAGGGAGAGATGCCACTGCAGTGTCTACAGTGTGTCACACCACCAAAAGTCAAAGGAGCTTACAGAGAATAACACACAACAAAACTATTGACTACACTACACACTAACTACACAAGATTTGCGCTAAATGTCGCAAATCTCTCACATCTCAAATCACTCCTAAAACTTCTCCCTCCTTAAACAACTAAATGCCATGTTCTTTGCAAGCTCCTTTGACTACGATGACCTGGATGACTGAGAACCTTCACAGACATGTTGCCATATCATTTTTTGATTGGTCGACATGGTACATTTTTCCACCAATAGGAAAGGGCGGGTTTTTTTGCTTTCATCTTTGCTCACAGGCTTTCGAGCGTATCGAGATATGCAACACTCTCACTCAGGCACAAACAGGTTGTTTGTCCATTGGTGCTGATGGATAGTGTAGAAGGAGTAAAGCTCAATAATGATCAGAAACCCTGCTTCATCTGTAGATAAACATGTTGCTTCAACCCTGGTCTTAGTTATGATCGATTTTTCTTTTTTATTACATTTCATTACAAAAAAGGACATAAATTCATAAATTAGTTTCAAGAGTTGTAAAAGCTAATTATTAACCATACACGTGGCCTGTATTGCTTGGAACTCAGTTAAAGTAAACACCTTTTTTTATATAGATTATTGTTGGTGCATTGATTTAATGAGGCGGTTCCACCAGACCTGCCAATACTGGCTGAGTAACAAAAACAAAAATGCCTCATGGGGCTTAATTACAGCTCAAGTGTTAGGGCCTGAAATTGAGCGTAGTGCTAGCTCACAGCTGGCACCCTTCTTCACACCAAGTAACCAAACCTCATGTAGGATGGACTGTTTAAGCTGCGTCAGAGGCAGGATACTGTCCCTGTGGATCTGCATGCCACTTTGCAACCCAGTTCACCCCAGCTCCTTTCAACTGGGTTCCACTTCCTACTTATAGAAGGACTTCCTCTATACAATCTGTACTTTCTATAGATTAAACAAATCCAATCTGCGGTTTTTGGTAATTTTCTGAGCTGGTTGGAGATGCCATCACTTTAACCACTCAGCCACGACACACAAATCCAAACACAAAAAACAGACTGACAGACAGACGACAGTCTACAGACATGTCCTGATTAGCTGAGTGAGAATATTATTGGCTGTTGTTTCTAGCTGGGTCAATCAATAAATGACCAGCAGTGCAATAACAGCCGATGGTCTGCTTCGTAATTATTTAACCATGATTATTAGAGTCTCGCTGGGTTGGTGCTGCGGTGGTCAGGAGACACTGCTCCGTGATTTTCCTACTTTAATAAAACAAAACAACAGCTGTGTTCATCGAGGCCAACGTGCTCCAGAGATTTACCATCGCATTCAGATGTCATGACATGACATACTCATTCTTAAATGATCCAACTTCATTAGCTAGCTTTGTGAGGTGATGGACATTGGCTGTTTTTGCAGTTGCCTGGCAACAGCAGGTGGACGCTGTCTGTAACCTGTGTCGTGTGTGATCAGCTTCACCTGGTAATTAAATACATTAGAAATCGATATCTGCTGCTGTGGCACTATAATAAAATCAGAGTGTGATTCCTCCGAGGGATGGTGCTGGTCATTGTTCACACACACACACACACACACACACACACACACACACACACACACACACACACACACACACACACACACACACACACACACTGTTATAGCAGGACTCGTGGTGCCAGTGACGTTTATCAGTGTTTATGAAGACTCATTAAAAACAGATTCACATTAACAGAGAGGCACAAGTTTGTAATCTTCATTTCATGTTAATATGAAAGTAATTCATGACTCTGTGTGTGTGTGTGTGTGTGTGTGTGTGTGTGTGTGTGTGTGTGTGTGTGTGTGTGTGTGTGTGTGGCGTGTAATGTAGGTGTATGTGTTATGTTCTTAATATACATTAAGTAACATCATAAAACTGTTGTCGGTAGTTACTCTCATATACAACAGATAATGGTAGGAAACACACACACACACACACACACACACACACACACACACACACACACACACACACACACACACACACACACACACACACACACACACTGCAATCCTGTAGTTAAATTGTTGAAATGTTTGCTGCCCCTCCCCCTCTGAGCCATTATCTTTTGCCCTTTCTGTTTCTCTCCTTCCTTTCTTCTGCTGTCACCATGTTTCTCTCTTTTTCACCGCACACACACTCAGTAAAAGGGAAGCAGGCTGCCGTGGTAACAAAGACGAGAGGAAGGAAATGAAGACAAAGACAGAAGAAAATGAGAGAGATTGAGGACTTGAGAAATTCGGGTTTCATGGTTTTTATTCCTCCTCTGCAGCTGAGATGAAATTATTTAAAAAAGCCTCGGGAACATTAAAAATAGCAACAAAAAAGTGATGCTTTCACTAAGCTCAAAGGGCAGAAGCTCGAAGTTTAGCTAAAAATCTAAACTTTGTGGCATTAGAGAAGCAGCGGGATCATGAACTGGAATGTGATCAGGAAGATGAACGGAGGATTCATTTGGAATCAGGAATATGTGCACAATATGGATTTGGCTTCTTTCTCCCAATCATTTCTTCTCAAACTGCCACTTCAGGCAGGGCATGGATAATCAGGGGAGTAAAGGAGAATCTGATAAATCTCAGCTGAAAATAGATTTCAGCAACTCTCAGAACAACAAACAGCAGCAAGAGTCTGTGTTTCACAGTAAAGCACAAGGTGGACGAATGAGAGCCCTCGAACCCCAAACCAAAGGGAAACCGTTTACACGTGTTATCTCACATCTAACAAGGTTATCAGTCAAGAAAGTCTCCAACTCCGCTTTTGTGTCATGTTAATGACACAGATCCCTCGAGACTCACAGAACTAAATGATTTCTTATGCTGTGCAGATAGAGAGGAGAAGACGGTGAATGGCAGCTGATGATCACAGGGCTACATCTGTGCCAGCATCATGCACACGCCTACACCAGGGACACCAACATACATGTGATCCAGAGAAACACTGGAAATTAATATTATTCTCACAAATGATCTGACCTCAGGGAAGAATATAAACCGAGCCGAGGCTCATCCCCTGCTGTTCCCCGGGACTTCATCCTCTTCTCTCCTCTGCTTGCCTTCAGCCCACAAGGCAGATGGCTGCGCCCCACTGAGCCTGGTGCTGCTGGAGGTGTGTTCCTGCTAAAGGGGAGTTCTTCCTCCCCACTGCTAATTCTGTCTATGTACAGTGTAGAGAGCCTTGACATAACTGTTGGTGTGATCAGTGAGGACGTCATCAGACTGATGCAGACTACTTCTGCTGCTGTGTCATTTGTCTTTTTGGGTGTTTATGTGCATAAATTATGACCTGAATTACTTTTTACAGAGAATTAATTAATACCATTAAATTGCCTTCTGTTAAGGCTAATGGGGTTACTGGTTTATTGGACTGGAACCAATTTATACCCGTGTCTGTATGGTGTGTTTGTATGTGCACAGTAATCGGTGTACTGTTGTCTTCATTTTGAATCATAAATCATCCTCGGTCTTAAATCAGCTGTTTTAAATCCTCCCACATTTAAGACCACTTTCTTCTGATTGGCTGCCCCTCAGCATCAGAGGGTTTGACGAGCAGGTGGGTGGGGCATCTGTACTGACAGTCAGAGACTGAGATGCAGGAGATGAACTGAGTGTTTCACAGAGTATGCTGGACTAAGACACGTAGGAGAGAAAGTAAGAATAATAAAGAAAATAAGTTCTACTTACAGATGTGTTTGGTTGCAGACTGCTTAAACTGTTTAAACTAGAAGATTTATTGTAAATATGGGATAAATACATTAGTGTATTCTGGCTGCTATCAGTGGGTCTCAAACCCCCCACACATGCCTGCTGTGTTCTTTACTGTGATTTTTTTCGTCTGACACGTTGACCGTCCTCTGCAGGAGGAAGAAGCCGGCCGTATAAAACTCAAATGTTCCTGCTGGTTTAAACTGTTAAAGTTGACATTTTGAAGATAAGAGGATTCCTCCTGACAAACAGCATGCACATGCAGATAACAGTCTGCTCGATGTTCTTTTAACCACAAAGACAACACAAAAAAATGTTTACATGCATGCACGCTGAGTAAGAGTTGAATGTCAGAGAGATAAATGAACAGGTGAAGAACAATAAGAAGAAGAGACGAAAAAAAAGGAAAGATGGGAGGGCGGACAGAGCAGGTGGGAGGGAGAAGCGGAGGAGGAGGAAAGAGGCATCGTGGAGGGGAAAATTAATTGCCCGCTGCAGGTTATTGGCTGGCTGCACCGCCACGGAGGCTGCTGTTGTTCCAGCGTGGGGAGGATGCTGCAGAAGAAGAGAGAGCGGCGAGCAGAGAGCTGCAGATCTCTGCTGATTCCTGATGCACCGCCGGCTCCTTTTCATCCGTCTGTAGAGAGCCACGGCCGCTCAGACTGGGAGGGAAACGCCACAAATCTGTTTTAATTTGGAAGAAAGCAGAAGGAAGACAAGCAGGTGGGGACACAAGTGTGCCGGTTTTACCCACTTCAGGATCACCTTCTGTGGGAGGAGAAGGCGACTGATTCCCCGGGGGAAATCAGGGAGTGGACGGTTCCCAAAACATCTGGAAAGGTGCAGCTGGAAATATTCTTTAAATGAGATTTAAAATGAAATCACTTTGGCTAAATCCTGTTTAGATTTGCTTTTTCTTCCAGGGGGGGCTTTGGAGTTTCTGAATTTTACTTCTTCTTGTAAAGCTGAACTTAAAAAATCATCTTCTTATCCATCTGCAGTTTCAATTCCTAAATATTTTATCTATGAAAGTCTTATTTTCTGCTATTCCAGTGCAGTAAATTGTCTTTTATAACTGGGATGCTTTAACAAAGCTGAGATGAAACATTCTTCATGATCTTATTTGATCGACTGATTATTTTCTCGATTTCTCCCAGAATGTCAGAGTCGGTAGGTTTGCATGACTGAACTTCAGGTTTTGATCCTTCAAGTTAAAGACAGATCCACAAATCCACAAATCTTGCAGTTTGACAAACTGAGCCTGAACATTGTTGGTAAATTTTATTCAGTGTTTACTGATTTACTGTTGATTTATTCAGTGATTTCCAAATCACGCTTTCTGCCTTGAAAAAAAAATCCCCACCATTTAAAATCGTTTATGGTTTATCTGCATTCCTGCTCTCACCAACAGCTGTGAGCTGATGAGCAGTGAGTGGTCTCATGTCGTGGATAAACCTCTTCTTAGGTAAAATACTTTGTAGCAACATTAGTATGAAATGTCAGCGTTAGCTGCTGTTCATCTGCAAACCACTTTGGAACCCACCCCCACCCTTTCACACTGTCTGACTGAATCGGTGTCATATCTGATGTTTGGCTTTCTGAGGTTAGAGTGAAATGAAAGGGCGGGGTGTCAGAACAGAGCTATACCTACAAATGCTGCGAGAAAACAGGATTGTGGTTGTTTTGCGACAGTTTTCTGCTTTAACAGTCCGATCGCACAGATTTACCTTTCAGTCCGATTTGAAGTTCAAAGGTTGACATATTTTCACTGGATTGACTCCTGAAAATAACTGACAGGATGAGCATGTCTGTGGGTCTGAAAGGTCAGCTGCACTGATAATCTCTCGCAGGGCAAAAAACTCAATGACATTCGAACAAAAACAAAAAGCTTAAAATGGAAAAGATTAAAAGATTTTGAGCAGCGAGATCAGCTTTTGGCTGCAGACATGTGAGTCTATTCGCTGCTCTGAGCAGAAGGACAAAGAACAAATTCATAGAAATTCAGAGAAATGAGCAAAAACCAAGCCTGTGTGTGTTCATGTGCTCATTCAAGAACCTCTTTCTCTCTGTTTTTCTGCGTCTCTGTGTCCAGGAGCGAGACTAAGCCGGATTTAACCTCTGTAGAGAAATGACGGAGCAGCAGAGGAAATCAAAGGATGAAAGAATAGAGGAGGAGAAAGGAGAGAAGGCCGGTACTCTCAGGGTCTAGCTCCTCTCAGAAAACCTGCTGGCTGCTCCTGGAGGAGGATTTTTTGGGGAGATTACGCGGAGATAAAGTCAGCTTCATGGCAGACAGAGGGCGACTGTTTGAGGCTGAAGTTTGCTGAAACAAAGCCGGTCTTCACCTGTGTGGATTATCTCACCTGGAGGAGGATTTTTGGGGATTGAGGAGTTCACAAATTGATTTTTCTTTCTGGTCGACAAAGATTTAAAGATGCTTGGAATTCAGTGTGGTGACCTAAACACTGGAAATTTCATCGACTGAGGAAAATAATTCGTGTAATTTTCTGTTTAGTGGCACATTTGTAAAATACAGATCCAGCAGCCTTGGGTCATTTGCTGAATTAGACGCACGTAACTGAAAAACAAAGTGTCAAAAAGGGATTTTGAGAAATTCCCAGAATGGCATCTCTCCATTTAAACGCCTTTCACGCTGCAGTTTTTCTCTCCCTCTGTTTGTTTCCTGTGAACACACTTTTTTAATCCTCTCTCTTTGTCTGGGTGCATGTCTTTTGCTCCTTTTCCCTCTGAGACGTCTGACAGGAATCCTGTGCTGGATCAGGGTGCATAAAACAGGTGCTGATGACAGATAACAGGTGCAGAGAGGCGCAGGTAGACTCTGATAAAGCCAGATAACTGATGCTCGGTGACAGAAGCAGCAGGTGATACAGGCTGAATGTGCTTCTGCAGAGAGTCGATCCTGTCTGTCATCTTTCTGCAGGCTAATCGAGGACCGTCTGTGGGCGAGGTGGGCGGTGATAAAACCGGAGGGAGACGCTGTTCTCTGCAAAAAACCAACATGCAAAAGGAGAAAAGTTAAACAGCCCCGAGCAGCAAGTGAGCAATAAATCTTTACTTAGAATGAAAAAGTGAAGGAAAAGATTCAGAAACTGCAAAGCGCTGATTTATAAAACAACCTTTTACACAGAAACATGCAGGCACAGGAAACACCTGTCAGTAAATATTCATCATCAGATTATTTTGGAGCTCACAGGTTTGTCTTTGAAGAAACTTCAGCTCTTTAACACAATAAAATAGTTTGCAAAACTAAATGTGCTTCGAGACTTTGCAGCTAAATTTAGATTTTCTGGGGGAGGAACAGCAAAAAGGACTGAAATCAGGCTCAAGGAGGAAACAACATGTGATATTCAACTGGATATTAAAACACACAGACATAAACTGAGAGACGCAAAGTGCACGTGGCAGAGACCGATGTGAGCCGTTAGTGAACCAGCAGGAAATGTATTTTTAAACTTTATAGTAGACACACAAAAGTGGCCAAAAGTGCACAAAAATGACAGATTTACTGATATAACATGGGAGCATTTTCCATCTGCACACATCAAAGCTGAGTGCAAACGTAACACTTTAGATGGAAACGCTGGATTCAGAGAGGAGAGGCTGAAATGTGGAGTCACTGCTAAAAGCACAAATGCTGCTTCTCCTTTCTGACCCTACAAACGCATCATTAATGCCACAGTGCTCAAAGCATTCAGCTCTAAACACAACCAACCTTTCAAAAAACACAAATGCACAAACTTTGATACGTAAAGTAAAAAACAAATCTCTTGTTTGGTTTGTTAGGTGAGCGGTTTGGGTATAAAACCACATTTTAAAGTTGAAACAGTAGAAACAGATGCTGGCTGTTTCAAAAGAAAAAGAAAGTACTTTTACTTCTGCACAGACACGATCAGCTCGACTTTTGGACAATGTTTACAGAGGAGCCGCGGGCTTCTTATTTCTTGTGGTGATTCAAACCCTCAGATGAATTATTGAGAGCTCTTGATCCTCTCTCATCAAGAAACGGTTCCAATCTTTTATTGAAGCTCTTGGCGTTTTTTCAATATTTCAAAATTTCTGACACAAGCCAGCAGCCTGTTAGAGTCAGATTGGGGGAGAAGGAACGTCGCTCTAAACGCTCACTGATGTTCACATGAATTATTGAAGCGAACTGAAAACAGTTTACAACCGGGAGAAGAGTTCTTTTCTTCAGTTCTTATTAACCGTCACAGGCCTAGATTCCAAACGCACCTCAGGAGACACACAAACTAACATTTAGCTGGAGAGTTTTTGTTAGATTAGAGGCTCAGATTTAACCCATTTTGGAAAAGCAGGAAAAAGAATTTTTTAAGCTAAGAACCTTTTCCTTCCTCTTTGCAGGAACACACACTTTATTTAACCAAACCAACAGAGATCACACAAACGTCATCCTTCACTGAGTTTGAAGTTTGTCGTCTACAAACTTTCAGCTGTTACATTTACTCTAAACAGAAGCTGAAAACACACAATTTGCAGTCACTTTCTTCTCCATCAGCTTTCCTGCGCTCATCATTTTTTAAAAGCACCACGATTTGGATCTATTCTGTTTTTATTCATCACTCTCGCAGAAGCTACCAAATTTATTCAAAACAGAGAGAGAAGCAATTTGTTTGGTCATAAAGATAAAATATTCAGTGCAAGAAAAAATCAAACTGTTTCTGCTGCAAACATCCAACAAAGTGAAGCTTAAGTTGATTTAAACTATTTGATATTTGCACTGAGACTACAGCTGAATGATGCTGTAAGCACACATGTACACTCTCCCTGTGGGAGCCGTGAACCAGCACTCGGACTTCATCCTTCCATCAGGAGAGATTCAGCCGCTGTTCGTTTTTGCTTAAACAAACTGAACTGATTTTTCATGTTAACAGTTTCAAGCACAAACCAGAGATCGCCTTCCTCCTCCTCCTCCTCCTCCTCCTCCTCCTCTTTCCCCCTGTAGGGCTGAAACAATCTACCGTGCATGAATAAAAATTAATTTTGATGAAAAGTGTCTCGCCTCCTCGCTGGCCGCAGGACACCAGATAAAAGCTGTTTACTGCAAGGAGCAACAGAACGCAGCCTTTTTACGACAAAAACGGAGCTGAACGGCGTTTGTGCTGCTTTTGTCTTCGTTTCATCATTATTTCTGCTTGTGAGTGGGAAACAGTGAGAAACAGAGAAGTGGGTTTTACTTTTGTCTTTAGAGCAGAAAAGAGGACACGACGCAAACTCAGCTTGACTCTCAGCTGGGGTTTCCCTTTCTTGTCTTTGAAAGAGAACTTGTGACTTTGAGCTGATAAAAGGAGCTGCACATGTTTGGAGACACTTCTGGGGCTTCTCAGATGAAGTGGAAATCTCACTTTACTGTATAAAAACTACAAGTACCCTACTTTGGTGCATATTTGTCTAAAAACTGACTGAGTTTGAAGAACAAGCACAGATCTGCTATACAGCTTTTACCTGTTTGAAATAAATCAGCATAAATTTGAATCATTTTTTGATACATTTCTTGACAGATTTCCTCGCAGCCTTATGGTTAACACAAAGAACAAGAATAAAACTTTTTAGATACACGATCTTCATCACAGAATAAAGATTTCACTTCGTTTTGGCTCAAACCTGATGATTTGATGTCAGTTTGGAACCTCATTTTAGGCCAAAGGTCAGTGGGTGATTAAAAAAGGTTAAACAAGCAAGATCGCGAACACTGACCCGGACACATCAGATTTGGAGGTCAAAGGTCAGACAGACAAGCTGGATTATCGATACGGACTGGCAGCTGTTTCCTGAGGGACCTGCGGTGACAGAGAACAGACGACAGAGATTCAGATCAAGAGGACAGACAGACCAAGACGCCATCATGGGCTGCAACATGTGCGTGGTCAAACGTCCAGAGGAGCAGTACAGGATCATGTTCCAGGTAAGAAATCTGAGTGCTGGTGGCTGAAGCTTAAGCTGCTAAAAATGCTCAGTTTATTTTATGATGTAAGCATTTTTGAGGGGCAGCCAATCAGAAGAAAGTTAAAAAAGGACATCAGAATGGCTCATTTCAGATACGGATGTGTATCATCTGAACGGTGAAACTTGCAAAGATATACCAGTTATTAAAGAACTGAGGCAGAGCAAAAGTTTGGTGTTTGCCTTTGAACCGTGCAGTGGGATAAAGTCCAAAGATTAAAGAAGGAGATAAAAATAAATGCAGATGGATTTAGGATTCATGAGCGCTCACAGCTGAGAGGCGAGGTGGAGAATGTGAATTCATCAGCTTTGGTTTCAGAGAGAGAAACGAAGGTTGAGTAAAGACTGTGTGTTTGTGTGTGTTGATACAAAGTGTGGCACCATTCATCACTGCAGCTCGGTCCAGTTACTCTGTAAAGGTCGCGGTGTTATTCTGTCCAGTGGAGGCTGAAAGTCACGAGAGACTCAGCTTTCAGCGCGTTTGTGGAAACATAATCCGATTCTGTCCTTGTAATTTGCTTTTTTAGCATTTCTCTCAAATGAATCCTAATTCTGTTGGCACTTCATTGATCATGTTATGAGGATTATTTATTTTTCAGGAATGAAACAACCAGTTCATGACTCCAGATTTACCTCACAAGACAGCTGAATTTTATTACAGTTTAAAAGATAAATGAAACCTCTGATGTTTTCCATTCACAAAGACTCTTTTCAAACTTTAACATTACAGTTTTGGTTGCTGTTTTCTTGGGCGTATTTGGGTTGTCTGACGATAGCTAAAACAACTGGCAAGAAGTACTCATGAAACAAACAGACATACTAATAATGGGAATTTCACTCACCATAACTCCATAGCAGCACATATTGTTTTTATATAATTGCATAATAAACAGCACAAAGTCCAGTTTATTACAAGTTTACAATGATACGATAACCAGTGTAAATGACATTGAAGAGTGCTCTCCTGAGAATAAAAGCTAAATAAAATAAAATGGGTAAGTTTCTTTAGACCTGACTCCTGATGAACAGGATATTGTGAGTTCAATAGTTTTCCAGAGGAACGAGCTGTATTGAAGTAAATGCTTCAATGAAGTAAATGCTTGTTGTCTGTGGTTCTAAGTCATGACTGGAACTGTCCATGGTGCTGATTCGGTTAGAAAGACTTGTTGTCTGTGGTTCTATGACTGGAACTGTCCATGGTGCTGATTCGGTTAGAAAGACTTGTTGTCTGTGGTTCTATGACTGGAACTGTCCATGGTGCTGAAACGAGTCAGACTTTTCTTCTTACATCACTGCTCCTACATCTGTCTCATTTTAGTCAAGCAGGTTTGTTGTACTTTGTAAAGTCCAGTTTATATACTGCCTATCTTTATTCTTACCTTATACAGAGTGCTTAAAACTACATAGCATAATAAAACAATGAAATACGTAATATGTAATTTAAAATATGTACTGAAAGGATTTCATTGACAAAAGATTAGATTCTGGGTGAAAACTTCATTAACTTGTTGTTGTGCTCATTCAGTGATGAAAGAATTTGATATTTACATAAACTTAGCTTTTACTTTCCAACTTTGAGAACTGTATAGAGTCAAATACCAACAAGCTATGAACAAGTGTTTAGGAGTGAGTAGCTCTACTGAACTGCACTGTATTATTCAAAGAGTTGTTTCTTTTACTTAGCTAGCTAACAGGGTAAACGTCAGAGTGAACATAACTGGCTCCTTTGAACACAGAGAGTTAAAGTGAGCATGTGTGAAAATGTTACACATGGAGCAGAGCTCAGTCAGAATGAATGAAGTCAGTGACACAACATGAAATATACATGAACACACGTGGTTACTGCAGCTGAAATTCTAATTGGTTAAAATAAGGCACACACGCACACACACACACACACACACACACACACACACACAGATAGAGAATAAATACTGAACAGGAACCTGAACTCAGGCACAAAATGTTTTACAAAGACACACACACAGATAGAGAATAAATACTGAACAGGAACCTGAACTCAGGCACAAAATGTTTTACAAAGAGTAACTTAATTCATAATGTGGAGATTCAAATCAATTCAGTTATATGTATGGCACTAAATCACAACACCAGTCACCTCAAGGAGCTTTATATTGTACAGTATATCCTATAATAATAGATACAGAGAAAAACCCAACAATCATATGACCCCCTATGAGCAAGCACTTTGGCGACAGTGGGAAGGAAAAACTCCCTTTTAACAGGAAGAAACCTCCGGCAGAACCAGGCTCAGGGAGGGGCGGGGCCATCTGCTGTGATTGGTTGGGGTGAGAGAAGGAAGACAGGATAAAGACATGCTGTGGAAGAGAGACAGAGGTTAATAACAGATATGATTCAATGCAGAGAGGTCTGTTAACACATAGAGACTGAAGAAGAAAAACTCAATGCATCATGGGAATCCCCGAGCAGCCTACGTCTATTGCAGCATAACTAAGGGAGTGGACTTTTAAATACTCTAGGAACAACAAGTAGGCCTGCAGAGCGAGAGCGAAGTGCTCTAATAGGGTGATATGGTACTACAAGGTCATTAAGATAAGATGGGGCCTGATTATTTAAGACCTTGTATGTGAGGAGCAGGATTTTGAATTCTGGATTTAACAGGAAGCCAAAACAGGAGAAATCTGCTCTCTTTCTAGTCCCTGTCAGGACTCTTGCTGCAGCATTTTGGATCAGCTGAAGGCTTTTCAGTGAGTTTTTAGGACTTCCTGATAATAATGAATTACAGTCGTCCAGCCTGGAAGTAATAAATGCATGAACTAGTACATCCTACAATAATACAGGAAAAAGCCCAACAATCAAACAACCCCGTGTGAGTAAGCACTTGGCAAGAGTGGGAAGGAAAAACTCCCATTTTAAAGGAAGAACCAGTCCCTTCAGTTAAACTGAATAAGAATCTGTGCTGTTAGTTATAAACTGGCCATATGATTCTCATCTTTGTGAGAAACTAACATCACAGATTTCAAGATTAAATGCTGAAGGATTTCTCTCATACATATTTTTCATGTTACCATCATTAATCAGCGCAGGTGAGTTCACTGACATAGTCACCGCCCTCTGTGGCAGATCCCTGTGGGTGGATGTGGGATTGTACTGCCAGACTCACCTCTACAGCACTGTGCGAAGGTCTGGGGTAGTTCCTGTGGAATAGAATAGAATAGAATAGAATAGAATAGAATAATCCTTTGGGGAAATTTGGTTGTATCAGCAGCAAAAACACATATACAAACAGAACAGAAACACAATTTTTACATATTTACATCATAGACAATAGTTACCAAAACAGTACTGTACAGTTATTACAATTAGAGTACAGATAGGTGGCAAACCCAGGTTGTAGAGTGCAAACAGAGCAGGATACTGAACGGTGTTTAAATAGTTTAATGAATAATTAGAAAAGTGCAGATTGTGTGATTGTATCTGTGGATTAAAAAGTAGACATGTGACTTCCAGTAAGTTAGTGTATATAAACTGAGAAAAGTAATGTGCAAGTTCTAACAGTAGAAGTTGTTACAGCACTGATGTTAACATCTATGTTTGTTGGGAGCAGTTTTGATTGTACAGTCTGACAGCTGCAGGGAGGAAGGACTAGCAGGCTTGGATGGCAAAGGATGTCCTCTAACATCAAGGAGATCACACTACTCAGCCTCCCTGGAAAAGTGTGCACCGTGTACTGTTACTTGTTCTTGAGTGGAGTGGAGAGAGAAGCAGAAAAAACAAAGTTGTTGATTTACTGGCAGATCTGCTTCTGTGTGTGTGAGGTGTGTGTGGTAAAGTGAAGAACAAGATAAAGGATTTAAGTGGCTGGATGAACGTCCTCCACTTAGAAGCTCGGTGATTCGGGAGGAGCTAAGAGTAGAGCTGCTCCTCCTCTGCACTGAAAGGACCAGCTGAGCTGTGGACTCTGATGAGGATGCATGAGGTGTTTTTGGACATGTCCAGATACAGGACATGCTGCAGAGATTACAGCTCATTTGTGGCTTGGAAATACCCACCGAGCAAAGTAACGTCGGAGTGACATCTTTAATAAGTCATTTTTGGATGTACAATTTTGGTCCTCTGAAGGGTTTGTTCTCTAAGGCCTGACGACGCCTTTTTTTCAACATCTACTGAACATCGAGTGCTGACGTCTGTAGGACCTCCGTGTACAGGCTGTTCATAGTCCAAATGTGGTCGATGGGGACGTCTTTTATACTGCTTCTATAGACTCTATATGTTTCCAGGTGTTCTGTAGACAAACAGTTATGTGTGAAGGAATGCAGAGTGATCAGCCTCCACGGTGGGTTTGGAGCAGAAATGTCTCCAGCTTCTCACAGGCAGCTTCAAAATGCGATGAGATGATTTGTTATGCACAGGTCTCTAATTTGTGAAACATAACTGGAGAAATGACCATAATCATAAATAAAATGTGTGACTAACTGCAAATTTAACAGCATTTTCTTAGAGACACAATTAGCTTAGCCAAATGAAAACATTTCAGGACGCACGAATGACATGAATTTAAAGCTGAAAATGGAGACGACTGTTAGAGGTATTATTTTTGTCATTATCATCATGAACATTTTTATGTAGGAACTAAATTCCACAGACAGATAACACCACACTGACACCACACGGCCAGCAGACACAGGCTCCCTCTCTGTGGCACACAGGCCTGTTTATCAGGGCATCCACACAGTTCTAATGGAGGTAAATATTTTACAGCAGTGAGTCTGAATCTTTGGTCATAAAGCAGCAGCTCGGCTTCTGTTGCTGTATTAAACCTTATATTGTGGTAGTAATGTTCACAGAGTCACAGTAAGACCTGACTGACCTACATCTCACACACACACACACACACACACACACACACACACACACACACACACACACACACACACACACACACACACACACACACACAGACTCCTCTGAGGGTTGTGC